TATTTTACTTGTTCAGTCACTTATGTAATTCAGTCTGTAAATGCTTCTTGTTAACTTCTGGTTTACTGTTATCTCTGTTTGACATTTGTTCATTAGAAGGTTGTTCATACATTTTGAGAGTAATAAAATAATTCCTCTTAAACTATATTCTGATTGTTTTTCTCTATATATAACTTCTGAGTTGTTCTGCCTTTGATGTTTTAGATTCCATGTATGTTGATGAAGAATAGAGAACTATTAAATATTAATTTTTTGATCTTAATTTGATATTATAAAATACTATAAATAGTATATTGGAGGAATTAGGTGGAAAGGAATTAAAATATTTGACTTTGTTCTGGTTGACTGTGACCTTGGGAAAACCATTTAATCCATTAGTGCCATGTTTTTGTTGGGGTTTTATTTTGTTAATTTTCTTAACTGATAATTAACAGCAATTCTCATCCTTTCCTGCTTTATAAAAGTACTGTCAAAATGAAACATGAATTTCTATATACATGTAATTATTAAATGGCAAACATAGGTTAGAGATTCATTAACAATAATTTATTAAGGAAATCTCTTTAGTTTGAGTATTTCTTCTCAAAAAGAAATAATACTCTTAAATCTTGTAATTATGAGTACTGAGCCCTGGTATGACACTGTAGGATAAGCACTGGACTGGTAACCACAAGGTTGGCAGTTCAAACCCACCAGCTACTCTTGGAAACCCTACACAGGTTCATCATGAGTCAGAACCAACACTTTGGCACACCATGAGAAACCAGACTAATCTAACTTGAACCCAAACTTAAAAAAAAAAAAAAATACTATTGATTTATCAAGTGACTGCCCTTCAGAGCAAAGCCCCAGATACCTTTAATTGTGAACAAAGCCGCTATTCTTATTTTATTGGCTTGGGGGCAGTGGTTTGGTTTTTACGATATTAAATTGCTAATTCTGGTTTTATGACATCTTTGCTTTTTTAGCAACCAAGGTACAGAATGGGCTGAAGCTCCCTGATCATAGAATGTAGTAGCTGGCAGGGCTGCATATCACCTCCAGTCGTGAGCATAACATGCCACCAAAGTGGCAAAAACTACAAAGAGAGTCTCATTAGGGTTTCCATTTAAAGACTTTTTAGCAACAGTAATATCTTTATTATTTTGTTTACTTTCAGCTTTATTATTTAGGTAAAATTTATCTCCAGTAAGCTGGTGGTGGGGAACATGTTGACTCCGTATGATAAGCACTGAACTGCTAACCATAAGACCCACAGTTAGAGCACACCAGCTGCTCCTTGGGAGAAAGATGAGGCTTTCTGCTCCTGCAAAGATTTAAAGCCTTAGAAACAGGATCATTATAAGTGAGAATCAACTCAACAGCACTTAACAACAATAACAATCTGGTGCTACTATAAAAAAGCTCTTCTTTAATAATAAATTTTATGAAAAGCTTCTTCTTTTTTTTTAAATTGTGGATTATATGATAGTTTACATGAGAGAACTTTAGTTTTACATTCATTCCATCATATGTCATTTCATTGCCATGGTTCCAATCCCCTCCATGCATCATCAACCGACCAAAGGGTATATCCTAGAAACCTGCCCCCTCCACTCCCCCCTCCACCCCCAGTCTTCGACCCAAAGTCCCCAGCCGCTCCATCACTCCCCGTCATTGTCTCTGTCTCCATCTCAGGCATCTCTGCTTCTCTGGATAGGGTCCCGCTCTCGGCTCTTCTCTGTTGATGGTCCTAGAGGCCTCCGTTCCTAGACTGGAGAATTAATCACTCCCTTCCTTCCTACTAAATGTCTACCTTTGCATTTCCAACCCTCATAATCAGTCCTGATAACCATTATTCACTACAGTATCACGAGTTACCCATCTGTATTTCATTTCATCAGCTCCTCTTAGACAGATTGGATAGTACTCACTGGAGATTCTGCCTTTCTCCATGCCCCCTAGCGCTCTAGGTTCCCTCTTGAACGCTTGCAAGCCAGTCACTTCTTGCCTTTGTAGTCCCCCCCCCTCCCCATTTGGGTATCCAATGTCCAAGTTGCCCATCTCTGTCTACTCTGTTTGGAGGGGGTGGGAATGTGAAAAGCTTCTTTTAATTTCTTTTCTAAAATGTGTTGTTGATAAATGCTGTAGAGTCCGTTCCGACTCATACTGATCCTGTATAGGGTTTCCAAGGAGCAACTGGTGAGTTCAAACCACCAACCTTATTGTCTAGTGCTTATCCAACAGTGCTATACCAGGACTCTAAATATTTGTAAAATAAGAGTGTTGATTTTATATAGTTTGAATAGTCAACTTTTAGTATTGTTTCTATTATAGACTAGTCAGTGATTCTTAGCCCTTTTTGCTCATATCATGAAGGATATTCACCTATTTTAAAAGTTCTCCCAGTTGTAGACTCTTCCTGGAAAATGTGTGTATTACTTTGCCTTTAACTGAAGGAATATGGACTGGCTAAAGTCTATCCAAGAACCCAGATTAAAAACTCTTGTTAAAGACTTTGAAGTTACTAATTTTATAAAAAACTCTTTTAAGTCTAAACTGAAACTTTTATAAGTGTGTTTTGGCTCAAATGTTTGAAAGTGGTACCTTAAGTTGTTTCTGGTGTTAGATCTTAGAAACATTGGAAGGAAAAGAATTTCGACATGACTTTTATGTTTTTGTTTGCAGATAGGAATGTGACTTAAATTCCTTTTTCTAACGACTCACCACAATTTAAATGTTTGAATCAAATGATGTCTTTCAATTTTTTTTTTTAGATTTTATTCTGCAGAAATCAGCCTAGCATTAAATTATCTTCATGAGCGAGGAATTATTTATAGAGATTTGAAATTGGACAATGTATTATTGGATTCTGAAGGACACATTAAACTCACTGACTATGGCATGTGTAAGGTGAGGAAAAAATACTTTTAATTATTCAGAAAGTTTTCAGGATCTCATAATATTGTCTTGATAAAATAGCTTCATGTTTAATGATAGGGAAATGATTGCTACTTGATTTGAGGTACTTTTTTATATTCTAGCATTAAAAACAAATATATTTTTTTCTTTAGCATTTGATACATTGCCTATCTTTTGTAAGTGCTATATGGGCTACTTTGTTGTTGTTGTTAAGTGCTATTGAGTTGGGTCCCACTCATAGCGACCCTATGTAGGGTTTCTGAGGGAGCGGCTGGCTAGTGAATTTGAAACACTAATATTGTGGTTCATACCGACCTTGTGGTTGTTCGACAGCACCATACCAGGACTCCATATGGGCTATGTTGTTGTTAAGTGCTGTTGAGTCAGTTGCGACTCATAACCACCCTGTGTAGGGTTTCCAAGGAGCAACCGGTGAGCTTGAACCATCAACATTTCAGTTCAAACCGACCTTGCAGTCGCGCACATTAACCTGCTGCATTATATCAGGACTCCGTAAGGCTATGGTGGTGGTGGTGGTGTGCCGTAGAGTCAACCTTGCATAGGATTTCCAAGGCTATAAATCTTTATGGGAACAGAAAGCCTCATCTTTCTCCCGCGGAACAGTTTCTAATTGCTGACCGTGAGGTTACCAGCTCAACTTGTAACCACTTTGCTACCAGAGCTCCTTCCATATGGCTATTGTTGTTATGTGCTGTGGAGTCGGTTCCGACTCATAACGACCCTGTACAGGGTTTCCGAGGCTGTAAATCTTTATGGGAGCAGAAAGCCTCATCTTTCTCCC